ATGCAAGCACATGTTAGCCTGTCATGGCTGATAAACTAGGGGAGGGGGGTGCTGGCCACTTCAATTCAAAGATAAGTCATTTTAAAAACATTTCTCAGTTGAGCTTAGAGGTGTATGTGTATAATCCCAACTCTTGAGAGACAGCGGAATGTCAATCTCTCTAAGTCTGAGATCAGCCTGATTCACATAGTGGGTTCCAGGAAAGCCATGGCTATGTAGAGATATCCTGTCTCAAAAAAAAAAAAATCCAAAAAGAAAGCAAATTTCAAATGATGAAACATTTTCTAATATGATGTGACTGATTTAACAAAAGCTTTTGTTATCTTTAGTCACATTATGAAAACTTTGTTTACAATGAAACTATGAAGCAATGTGGCAAGTCCATTCACAGAGGAATAGAAAGCCTGAGTCCTTTGACAACGTTCTCACAGGGCCTTTCACTTTTAAGTGACAGGAGTCAGAAGGAGCAATTAGGCATCTTCATCTTCTGCATTATAATGACGTGTTGGGAGCTGGAGGGCTTGCTTGTTCAATAGTACTGCTCCTCTTGGGTACCCAAGTTTGGTTCCTGTCACCCACATCAGTTAGCTCAGAGCTACTTGTATTTCCAGGTCCAGGAGATATGATGCATTTCTCGGGCCTCCTAGGGCCCCATATGTGCAGATGGTGAAAATTCAGATATAAATGTGATTCTGTATTAAAAAAATCTTTTCTTTGTGTACATGTTATTTTCAAAAAGAGTGATATTTAATTTAGGTATATAAGTTTTTCCAGCGCATGTAAGGTACCCATGGTAGTCACAAAAGAGTATCTGATTCCTTGTGTGTGTAGTTACACATAGTTGTGAGCTGTCTTGTGGGTGTGGGAGTCAAAGTCAGGCCCTGTGGAGGAGCAGCCAGTGCTCTTAGGTGTTGAGTATCTGTTCAGCCACATGAACATGCCAGTCATTAGAGCAGTAAGGTGTGAATGGGTGAGCCTGAGTTCAACATTACCTCAGCTCTGATGACCCAGAAGAAATACAAGATTCATGCCATCGGAAACCCATTTAGCCATGGTGCTTTAAGAAGTTTCTGAGCCCAAATCTCCACAAAATGAGGGAATAGTGTGAAAAATGATCAGGAATGAAACTTGCAATACAAGTCTTTAGAAAGTGGCTGCCTGCTTGACCAAAGCCACAAGGCTGATTACCTCAGTGTGGTAAATAGGCAGCAATGGGAGCCAACAAGTTCACCTGTCATTGTAGTCCTCCTGGAGTCCATGCCTCCTGTGAGCACAGAAAAAGGAACTTGCAAACATGAAGACTGACTTGTCTGAGCAGAGTCACAGTCTGCTTCCCTGATTCTGCCAAGCCTTCAGTTAGGAACCCTGAAAGCTGCTGACTCCTGGAGACACCTGGTTGTCAGAAGATCCTGAGACTTAAAAGGAAGTCACCCTAAGTCTGGGACAGGTAGGCATTTAAAAAGACGGGTGGGGTTTGGAGGAGTTATTAGAGAGGGAGCTCTGGTCTGAATGCCAAAGGTTTAAATGGGCAGAGAGCAGGCCTTGGGGTTTACCTGAGGACAAGCTGGCTCCCACCGTGCTCTCTGTAGGAACTCACTGCACCTGTGGCAGGACAGCTCCCTCCAGGTCTCCTTCCTGATTTTTTTTTTTTTTGGCAAGTACACATACGTGTCAGTGCCAACACCCTCCAGGCTCCCACTCTGCAGTCCACTAGCATCTGAAAGCTCCTCTGTCCATACCTGACATCCCTGTAACCAGCTTGTCAGGTAGGAATGCGGATATGTTAAAGTAACATTGGTATCTGTTACTTTGGCTAAAACTATCGAAGTAGTGGACCCCATGAAATTCTCATTTTCCCTGGAATCTCATTGTGTGAAGAGACTGAGTCCTCCAATGAGAACGTCTCTACTGAAGAAACATCTGCTCCTCGTCTGACAGCCTTGCAGCAGAGACAGGAGCTAAGAAAGGGCATGGAGATTAGAAATGGGAAAATTCATTATATGGCTTCATTAGATTATTTAGTTTTGCATATATTTTGCCTTCTATCCAAACCTGTTAGGACTCTAAGGGTGAAATGGTTACCTAACATTTGCATCATTTTTCCAAATTAGTAAAACTGAATAAATATCATGTTTCAGTAATAATTTCCTCCTTCATTCTTTCTTTTTTCCCTTTCTTTCTTTCTTTCTTTCTTTCTTTCTTTCGTTCCCTCATTTTCTCTTCCTTTCTTTTAAAGAATTTGATTACTGGAACTCATTCTGTGGACTAGGCTGTCCTTCGACATCAGAGAGACCTGCCCATATTGCCTATAGGTGGACATGCCACAACTTGATAAGTTAGGTGTTTTAGTTGGCCTACTAAGGATGACTGGCTGAGCCTGGCTGGTTATGGTAGCCAGGACACCGGCTGTGGTGCTAACTCGAGTAACAGAACAAATGTAGCCCTCCTGATTTAAAATCCACTGTCTTCCAATTACGAGCAGTATTGTTTTCTTTGTCACTGAGTCTGTTAGAACTCATCAAAGGACTTATCAGAGTTCTATCCTTATTCTACAGATGGTGAAACCCAGGCTCACGGAGACAAGCAGTTTACAATATAGTTAAATAGAACTGCTCATTTTACTCATTCTGTCATTCTAAAGTGTCACTAAATGAAGTTGAAGCCACCCAAGCCAGGGATGGTGGCACAGCCCTGTAATCAGGAAACCTAGGAAGTGGAGGCAGGAATTTCAGAATTTTGAGGTCATCCAAGGTGAAAACCGTCAATGGGGTATGGCATGAGGCCCACGGAACCGAGGATGGCTGTGATTGGCTCAGACCAGTGTTCCAAGTCTTCCCTGCAGCTCCTTCAGGGCTGTGACACCAGCAAGTGTTAACTGAGGCGTTCACACCCCAGATTTTCTGTTCTTGATAACGTTTCCTAACCAAGGCAGCCTGGGTCACTTCAAGGTCAGACTCCTGTTACTCATTAAACGGGGAAATTCTCCTGCAGGTGGGAGAATTAGCTTCAGGCAGGGATGAGATCCATAACTGTTTATCCAGTTCAGTGTGTTCAGTCCTGAAACCACATACACACTCAGCCAACAGAAATGGACTCAGCAGGTTTTATTCATGTATCTGTGCATTCGTATTCACACACACCAAATAAGGAAGAAATTGGGAAAGGACAGGAAAGAGAACAAGGAAGGGGGGGGAATGTTGTAATATATTTTAATTAAAGTGTATGAAAATACATTTTAAATTAAAAACCAGTAAGAGAGACACCTTAGCAGTTACCATCACTGGATATTGTTACAGAGGACAATCATCTGCCAACACAAGGCCAAAGGATTCTGTTGCACTCTTCTGGCCTCTGCGAGTACCGCAAGACTCTAGAAGGCAAACACCCATATAAAAAAACAAAATTCATAGCTTAAAAAATGGAATTCTCCACGGGCAGTGGTGGAAAATGCCTTTAATCTCAGCACACGGAAGGCAGAGGCAGGTGGATCTCTGTGAGTTCAAGGCCAGCCTGGTCTATAAGAACTAGTTCCAGGACAGGCTCCAAAGCTACAAAGAGAAACCCTGTCTCCAAAAGCCCAAGAGTGATGTCACAGCTCTGAGATACACAGTAGGCGGGGCTAGTTGAAATGAACTCATTCTGGCGATGTATCCATCCTCTGAGCCAGCATGCTCACAGGCAAAAGCAGCTTTATGCCAAGGTTAGAATCGCTCAGCAGGACTCTTCACCTAAGAGCAGCATCCACAGTGCTGATAGGGGACTTTTTCCTCGACGTTTTCTGTGTTTGTGTTCTCTGCCCTTTGTAGGTGTGAGAATTGTGACAATGGCACACATTTTTAAATCTATTGATACATCTTTTAACTGTAGAACATAATGTATGATCTGAAAGATAGATTTCATCTGCCTGAGTGGCTAGACTTGCAGTCTCCTGTCCCCATTTAAATTGTTCAGTGTACATCCTGGGGCCTAGAAGAGACTTAACGATGACAGCATTTGTGGAATGCAAAACCCATTGTTGGATGGTTCCTCCTTCAGCATTGACCACAGCTGGGTACATGCTGTTATTAAAGACATACTTCTTTATTAAATTTTAAGTATTTAAAGTGAATTCTCCCTGAGAAAACATAATCATTTGAGAACAGCCTTTCAGAAAAATGTTTCTGAGACAAGCTCTCCTATGTGACCAATAACAACATGCATATAAGAAAAATTAAATAAACATTTACATCCCAGCATCCTAATCCCTAACAGGCCTGCCTGGTTCACATGCTACTTATCTCTGGGGTATTTTAGAGGCAGCTCTCTCCCTTAGATTAATTCTCCCTTGTGTGACTCTTCCAAGCATTGGTTGTAGTGACCAGCCCCCCATTTTAGCAGCCATGACGTGTGCTTTCATGACCTTGCTGCTCTTGTCCTGGTCACTAAGGTGACATGCTCTCCTCATGGCAAGGAACCAATCAGAAGTTAGCTGGCAAGGCTGTGCTTTACGGCTCTGGGTGTGCTTTACAGACAGTGTACAATGGGCCTCTTGATGACTTTGGGGTTCAGAATTTGGGCACAACGTGGTAAATCCTTTATATCCCAAATTCCATTGTTCTGCATCACAGTTTAGTATAGAGTGCTATCCAGTACATGAGATGCCATTTACAACCTCCACAAAATTAACTCTAAATGGAACTTGCACCCAAATGTGAAAGGAGAGTCTTGAGAAACTAGGCCTCACTGAGTTTGGCAACCTGCCCAGGCCTTGGGAGGTTTCTCAATGGCACTGAGGTAAAGAACAAAACCAGATCTCCTCTAAATCTGGGAATACTGGGAGAGTTGGTGAAGGGGAGGCGTTGTTTCATTTCATATCCCGAGAACCCAGCTCTTTCTACGCGTGCTGCTGTGAACTTTGTTTATAATGTTCCTGACGTACCCTGCATTCCTCTTGTGCAACATCTGGTTAGTCTCTTCCTGGGTTTGTATACTTCCTTTTAAAACTGACCCATTGATCTACACTAGCCAGAGACCTATTAAATCTAGTGCAAGCCTCCAGTCCATCTGGGATAGGTCTGTGCTTAGCCAGGAAGGCAGGACTGAGACCCACTGCGCTGTGTTCCTGAGGCTCACCGGTTCCCCACGGGGAATTATTCCTGTCACTCAGGCCTCACCAGCCAATCAGGATCTCCACAAGACCCGTCAGTCAGATGGGAGGGTTCTTCCGTTCGCCGGACTTCTGGCTCAGCCCCTCCCACTGCGGAAGTCGGAAGCTACTCGGTTGCGCTGTGCCGTGGGCTTTGCTGTGGAGAGAGCGTGTGAGCTTGACCGCCTGGCCATCATGAGCGAGGGGCTGCTGCCCACAGATGCGGAGGAGGAGTGGCCGGCCATGGTGAGCAAAGGGCTGTTGTCCCCAGACGGGAGCGCGGTGTGGCGAGTCCTTCCCGGGCCGGGTGGGAGCCCGACGCAGAGTTCACTGTGGTCCTGCCCGTCCCGTGCGGTCCTGCGTGGTCCTTTACGTGCGTGGGCCCGGCGGGCCGCAGCCTCTGAATACTTCGTTACGCGGGCTGCGTCTGAGCAGGACACTGGGAGCCGGACTGCGCTTAGAGATAGCCTTGCTGGGGTCACGTTGAAATGCTGTGCCTGTAGTGCCTACTGTCACTGTGGAAGGCAGATTTGCCAAACTCGGAGAGCCCCGGTCTCCTAGTGTTTTCCAGAAGTTCTGCACGTTTAACACTAACATTTCGGTGTAGGATCATTCTGGAGTTAATGCTGTGGAGCTTGTAAACGGTGTCTCCTGGGCAGGGTTTGGGGGTGGGGAGGGGGATGCTACCATGGAGCTATCCTCTGAGAATTTTTTTTTATAAAGAACCCACTCTGTTTCATTGATTCTTTATAGTGTTCTGATTTTGTTTTATTTATTTTAGCCCTCACTTGGATTGTTTTTGATGTCTACTCCTTTCTGGTATGCTTACTTTGTAGTAGAAAATTTATTAGAGCTATTATACCTGATGTAAACTCCGGAGTGATTGCTCACCTAGTCTTTGTAGTAATCTTTTTAAAATAATCAGTGATGTACGATTATTTCCTTTATTTTCATATGTGGAGTTAATCTTGATTTGTAACTTTTCCTTCTAGCACTTCCTGTATTGCTGCATTTGTAGATAGATATTTAAATTCGACTCTATCATGAAATATCTTATTTTCTCTATTTTTATTAATGTAAATTTTCAGGGTATTCTAATTTGGACTGGGACCTGTGACTTCTTAGAGTCTGCAGCACATGTGTCCAAAGCCCTTCTGACTCCATTGAGAAGTCAGGCATAATTCTCATAGGTACGCCTTTGTATGTTTCCTTTGCAGCTTTAATATTCTTTCTTTGTTTTGTGTTTGGTGTTTTCATTATTGTATGGCAAGGGGACTTTCTTTTCTGTTCCAATCTATTTGGTGTTTTATATGCTTCTTGTACCTTGAAAGGTGCCTCCTTTAAGTTGGGAAATTTTCCTCTATGATTTTTGTGACAATATTTTCTGGATCTTTGAGCTGGGATCCTTCTCCTGGCTTGATCTTGTCATAGTTTCCCAGATGTCCCAGATATTTTGTGTCAGGAATTTTTTAGGTTTGACATTTTCTCTGACTGAGGTCATTGCCTGAGACTTTCTCTTCATCTCTGTACTCACTTGCTAATGCTTTGCCTCTGCAGTTCTTTTTTTCTTAAATTTTCATTCCCAGTGTTCCCTCACTTTGTGTTTTCTTAATTGCTCCTATGTCCATTTGCAGGGCTTTTGTTTGTTTCCTTCAATTGTGTGTTTTTTCTTGGCTTTAATTGAGGTATTTATTGGTTTCCTCTCATTCTTTTGAGTTTTCCTGGATTTTTTGGAGGGATTTGTTGATTTCTTCCAATTATTGTTTGCCTTGATTTCTTTAAGGTTATTTATTATTTCTTTTTTAAGGACTCTATTATCTTCATAGTATTGGTTTTAAGGTCTTTCTCTTCCAGATATGTTGGACTATGAGGACCTTATGTGGTAGGCTAGCTGGGCTCTGGTGAGGATGCATTACCTTGTGGTTTTTATTTTCATAAGCTGGCATCTAGGCATCTCAATTTGAGGTGATTATAGGGTTAGGTGCTGATTTCTGGGTTTGTCCCTGTTTGGTGGCAGTTTTGTTCTGGGTTTTTGTTGTCTCTGGATTTTCAGAGAGAGTGTTGGCTGAGCCTTGCCTTCTGTATAGGCTTGCTTGGCTGGCGTGTTCATGGGGGAAGCTTTGCTGCTGTTGGAGGCTGCAGGAAAGGGAGGCCAGGGGAAGAGGATCTTAGGGATTCACAGGAGGAGTGGAGAGGGGGTAGGGGAAGCTGTCTCTAGGATTCTATTCTGGTTCTAGGGGCAACTATGAATATTAGATCTGTGGTAACAGACAGTCTGATAAATCTGCAGACAGCCTACCTGGCCTACATGTGGGTCATCAAGGGTTGTTTGTGTGAGTTTGGCACTGGAACACAGAGACGAAGCTAGTGGGAATGTTGTCGGGATACATGGGACATGTGGGTGAGGGGAGATAAAGTTGCCCCTGGTATTCTGTTCCAGTGTGAGAACTGGGTCTGTGGTGATAGATAGTGGGGTAGGGCTTTGGGCAGCCTACCTAGTCTTCCGGCAGGCATGACCTGTGGTTGAGCTGGGGGTGTCTGCCGAAGTTCAGGGCTGGGACGCAAATATGGGGTGAGAGGAAAGGCATGGTAAGGATGCTCTGTGATCTATAGGTGTGGATGGGGGAGGGGAAGCTGCAACTTGTGTATACAGCACTAGGGGCAACTCTTGAGTATTGTGTCTCTGGTAACAGAGTGGCAAATGTCCATGAGCAGCAGCCTGTCTGGTCCTATATCCAGTATCTCAATACTGGGCTTCAGGTTCACGGGGATCATTTATATGGTTCTTTCTTTATTTAGGTTTTGTTGTTTTTAGTCTATGAAAGACTTCGAGTTAATTGGATAAGAAGTACTATGTGGGCTCAGCAGGTCACTCATCAACTATCCTTGGGATTGACCTGAGTTGGGAGACAAACACCAAAGTCAGGAGGCTTATAACCACCTGCTACTCTAGATCCAGAGGATCTGAATCCTCTTCTCTGGTGTCACCTGTATACACATGGAAGGCATTCTTTCTTACACACATAAACATACACATAAAGATGAGCAGAGATTGGTTTTCAAATGTGCTCATGACTTTTATAAAGCAATTAGAACAAAACAAGTTGCTTTAGGTATATGATACAAATCACCCATGGAGGGCCTTACCCTCTCTGGGAAATGGAGTGGGGATTGGGTGGGGGGCTGGGAGGCCTAGTGGGGGAGAGTGGGCATGGAGAGGAAGGAGAGGGAGTAGAGACTGACATGGGAAGCAAGCGTGTTTCTAACTTAAATATATAATAAAAAAGTGTACAAAAAAAGAAAGAACTTGGAAGGGAAGTATATGGGAAGGAATGGAGAGGTGCAAAAAGTGGGGAAAGTAATGTAATATCTTTTAATTATAAATATATACAAGTAAATTTTAAATAAAAAAGACTAGAGAGATGGCACGTCAGTTAAAACCAATGGCTGTTGTCACAGAGGATGACTATAACTACAGTCCCCAGCATCTCTTGGCTTTATCTGGGTTCTGTAGGTACTGTACATGGACACGTGCAGGCAAAATACTATATAAGTAAAATAAAATTCAAGGATAAAAAAAGGCAAGAACAAAATTATCTACAGTGATGTCAGGCCTGAGACAAATTGCAGCAAGGGCTAGTTAAAATGAACTTCCGGTCTTGTGTGGGGGCAGCTTGGCCTCTCAAGGGCAAACAACCGTTGTTCAGCGTCGATCGCCTTCCAAATATGATTAGTGATGTCAGTGCTGCTAGGTGACTTTTCCTTGATGTTTTCCGAATTTGTGCTTTCTGTCCTTTGTACTTGTGAGAATTGTGGCATTCATACATCTATCTTTTAGATCATGCTTAGTGATTGACAGGTAGCATTATCTCCAAAGCAATCTACTGGATTTTCAGCTAAGACCTTGTGGTGCAAGGTGAATATTCCCCAGGCATTTCTTCATATCACTTTTAGAACTTATGTATTTTTCCTGCATGCCTGTGAGGTAAGGAATTCCCTATATGTCTCTGCCTTTATCCCCAGTCTGCTGCGCAGCCTGTGTCCGAGAATGTGCGGAGGGTGTCGGGGATTGACAACACAGAGACTCATTCAACGGTGTAAAGAAAAGTTTAGGCAGGCCCCAAAAAGGCTCAAGAAATCTTCCCAAGAAAGGCTCCCTCCAGGAAAGCTTCTTTTCCGGCAAGAAAGCACAAGCATGCCCTCGACCCCAAATTAGGGTATTCTCCACTGTCTAGTGCATGGATGTCTCCATTTGACCTCAGCAATAGTTGCTCAAGTTCCATCATGCCAGAATCTGTCTGAAGCAGATTGCTCACTGGCATTCACATTTTAAAATTTTTAAATGAGGAGTGTATTATTTGATGAGTCATGTGGGGACTGGGGACATTATTACCCCTTTTTTATTTTTAAAAAAATTTTTTTTGAACTGTTGAAGCTGGACCATAACAGTAGAAGGATTTGTCTACCCTTCTTGGTTAACTATCTAGGTGAATTGGGATCACTACCTAGATTATTTGTAGATGCCCTTTAAAAAGGACATATCCATTAAGTATTTACCAAAAACTTCTGAAAATCACTCAAAGATTGTAAACTATACTGTGTCCCAAATAACTTTTGAAAATTATTTGAAGTCTGTGAGCAGTCATTCCCAATCTAACCTGTAGAACTCTCACAAGCTGACAAGGCCTCATTTGCATCTTAACTTTTCTGTTAAAACATTAACAGACTGGCTGTATGTTCCTTTTGGCTATATCTAAAGCAATTTAGGAGCTTTTTAAACTATTTTTGAAGGGATTTAAGTATCCTTTTAATCATATAAGCAGTTCACACTCATGCATTCACAATCACATTTCATATATACTGGTGTGGCCACACCGTACATTCAGAACATACATGCATCTTTCGGTCATCCTTTTTCCCTAGGTCATGATTAGTCTGTTGAAATGAAACTTCCTTGATTGGAATCTATGTAAAAGAACAACTCCAGCCAGTCCTTGAACTAAAAAGGTTAAAAAGTCCTGTATGCCCTTCATTATTCCTCCATTTGAGCTACAGTCATGGGGTACAGCTGTGTCTACTCCTTGTAACTCTGTAGATGTAAGGTGGAGAGGCCAGGCTTTTGGCCAAAAGAGATGACTCACAAAATAGAACTAAATGCAAACAAAATTTTCCATTTTATATACCTTTGTCTTTTCTTTTTCTCTACTTAATACCAGTACCTCTTTACTGTTACCAATTTTTTTTTG